GATCAAGCGCTTACCACTAGGCCAAAAGCAATTGCTGTTAGTCAGGGAGCAACTATCTTTCTTAAAGTGAACCCCAAGGGGCCTACCTAACACACCTGTGTAGGCGCCCATGGGTGGGATGTTAAGCCCATCGAATCCCTCAGGGAGAGGCTAAATTAAATAATTCAACAATCTCCCCCCAGTGTCAGTCGGGGGGATTCGAACCCATGACCTTGCTCTGATACCAATTGTTAAAACTCAGAGACAAATATAACAACTGGAAGGATGATTTATTAAATGATAGCAAATTGAGGCTATATATATTTCCAATACAACGTGTCTGAGAGTAAATAGCAGTTACATCTAACAGCCCTATAATGTAGTGGAAAGAATCAAAGCACTAACTAAACTCCTAAAGAATAGGTCCTCCTAAATACTAGGACTTTATTAAACAAACTGACAAATAATTAATGACTAACTCTATCACGAACTGGAAAATGTAAGGTTGAAGAAACACCCAAAGGATGGTTCATTACATACATAGATAGAGATTCAGAAACCCTATTCAAGGAGAAGACGAAGAATAAGTGAATCAAGGCAGATTTGGCAGATGAAGAAAAACAAGAGAAAGAGATCCAAAAACAAATTGAAAGGGCTGAGCAATTGATGCAGCTATCTAATCCAGAGTCTGATCAGCCTTCACAGGTAGAGACTACAAGGGAACTAAATGCATAAGATGGAATTAAGATAGGATTTTCTCTTGGGTCGTCTGCTAAACCTATATCCAAGGATAAAGGTGAGGCATCGAGGATGGCGTTTGATGAAGAGCAATATGAGGAAAAGAATCCTGTAAACAATTTGAAGAGGAAAGAAAGTGGTGGTGGAAAATCAACTCTAGATGAAATGATCAGTGAGGAAGAGAGGAAGAAGGAAAAAATCAATAGGAAGGATTATTGGTTGCATGAGGGAATTGTTGTTAAGGTTATGAGCAAAGTCTTAGCAGAGAAAGGGTACTACAAACAAAAAGGTGTTGTGAGGAAAGTGATTGACAAGTATGTAGGGGAAATTGAAATGCTAGAAAGCAAGCATGTGCTCAGAGTTGATCAGGAAGAGCTTGAAACTGTGATACCACAGGTTGAGGGACGTGTAAAATTAGTAAATGGGGCTTATCGCGGATCCCTTGCTAGGCTGCTCGGGGTGGATATAGATCGATTTTGTGCTAAGGTGCAGATAGAGAAAGGTGCCTATGATGGGGGTGCTTAAAGCCGTGGAATATGAGGACATATCTAAAGTAGCCTAGCGAGTTTGTTTAATGATAATTTTTGTGATTCTGTTAATTTGCAGGAGTTGGAACGTTTGTTGTTATGTATTATGCAGAAGCTCTAGACTCTAGTGTCCTCTCTGTAACATAAATTAAACCATGAGAATTATCTTTTCTTCCATTGAATAAATTTCTTGCCTGATAATTTAAAATTCTGATTTCTGGCTAGTACCACTGTATCATGTTTGATTGTAATTGTTATTCAGTTTTATTTTTGAATTTTACGGGTGAATAAAAAGAGCTCTGGTGAATTTTGCTAGTGCCATTAAAATAGGTAATACAGCTTAGCCAAATAAATTGTTTTTTTTGCCAATGTACACATTTTGGCTTAAACAACCAATCCAATGTATGGCTATACTACTATTGCAACATTCATAACATGTTTAAGTTACATTTAACCTATTGGTTCACAGCATGATACATAGTACTCAATTTTTATCTCTTAATTTCACAAATTCTTGGTATATTTCCATAATCAGATATAAATTGAAGTTTATAAAGAATCAGCATAAACTTTCCTTAACCTTACAGTATCACTCTAGGTAAGATGTATTCTCAGTTTCAGTTGTAAATTGTGAATTGCAATACTCATTTTCAGTTGAAATTGGCATACGGTTCATCATGGTTGGTGTCTGTTTGAGCAGTTGATGGTAAATGGTATGGTAGTTTGTAAACTCCATGGTTACCAAACTGTTGAGTTTACTCATAGCCTTGCATGTTGAAATTCTAGGTATCAAAATCGAGTTAGCGCTTGTTTATTACTCCATATCTTGAATACTTCATGATTAAGTAAACACAGACTCTCGTGTAACGTTGGTGAACTCTGCCACATAATTTCGAGTCTGCTATGATACCATGGGATGAGTGGTGGGACTTTGAACTGAACAAAGATGATTCTAATCCCCATATTGCTCTTCTTCCATTACACCCTGACATTCGTGCGAGGTTTAACGAGACTGCAGCATGGGAGTATGCTTTGAGTATGGACGGAAAACCTTATGGTTACCACAACATGATTTTCAGTTGGATAGATACTTTAACTGCAAACTATCCACCTCCCTTGGATGCTAATGTGGTATGAATTTATGTAGCTGTTCTTTTTAAATTTTCAGTTAATCTGTGGTGGCATTCGGTGCAACCATCTTGGGTTTTTTGCTCTCTAAATTTCAAGGTTGATCTTTTTCTACTTCCCTTTCCTAACAATAATATGAATTGTTTCAAACTGATAACCAACCCATATAGTCTTAAACTCTTGATCTTGCAGAAATTCAACATAAGCTGTCTATCCAAGTTTGTAAATAATAAAAAATAGTTTTACTTATGATCAGCTCCTTTCCTAACAATAATATGAACTGTTTCAAACTGAGAATCAATAAACCATGTAGTCTCGAATTCTTGCTCTTTCAGAAATTCAACATAAGCTCTCTATGCAAGTTTGTAAATAGTAAAAAGTTAGTTCAAAATTTCAAATTCCAGTATCATCGGCTCTTTTAGTTTTCCTTCTATTGCTTGTTTGTCACTCAAGAAGACCATTTCTAGTGGAGAAAAATTTCATTCACTTTAAAAGAAGCATTGAATTTTTTTTAGCAATTTACCTTTCTGCTTTTCAGGTTGCTTGTGTTATGACAATTTGGAGCCAACTTCAACCTGAATATGCTGCGAATATGTGGAATGAAGCCTTGAACAAACGACTTGGAACTAAAGTATGCTACAGCCTTTACTTGCTTCTTGCTCCAATATGTGTGTCTTTATATAGATTTCTTTGCCTTAACTTCAAGAATCACTATCACACACACACACACGCAAGTCTATGCATACCTTGAAGAATATCTGCACAAATAGCTGGTTCATTAGCCAAAAGCCGAATAACGAAAGTGATTACAATAGATGATGTATCATGTCCTGCAACCATGACAAGCATAGCATTATGGATGATTTCCTTCTCTGTTAAAACTTGTTTTCCATCTTCAACCATGCTAAGCAAGCAACTGATTAAGTCTTGGCGGGAATCGGCACCATTTTTCTCGTGTTCCTCTTTCTTCTGGTGCACAATCTCCTTCAACAGGTTTTGGATCCTCGCACTTGCCCTGAGGCTGCGGTTGTAGCGCGTGAAAGGTGCATTAACTGGTATCGACCGCATTCCTTGAATCATTGCTTGAAAGGGTTTCATGAATTGATCCCTTTGTTTTCCACTCTCAAGACCAAACAGAAGAGAGCAAATTATGTTGAATGTGAGAGTCTTCATCAGAGGTAATACCTATAGATTATCATTAGGTATTTCCGACACCGACATTGTCGGACACTAGAACACACTTAATATCAGTTCGAATGATATACGGATGCCCCATGTGGGACTCAAAATCACCCTTAATTCAGAAGTCTGCGTGATTCAAAGTCTAGCAAAAGATAACTAGTGCAAGTGCATTGTTTAACAAGTGTAAAAAGGTAAATTTGTATAGGAAGTTGTGTATTCAGTATATTAGAAATAGATATAGATATAGATAACATAGTAATGAATAACTTATATGGTTGACCTTGTACCCAAAATAAATTGTTGATTAAAAAATTTATAATTATTGCATAAAAACATATTTCTAAATATTGAGACAATGAGAGGAGATTTAAACCCAAAAGCTTAGATGCTTACATTATCATATTTTTAGAGAACAATTCAAGTCATTTGACAACATTGTGCGCAACTATGGTGACTTCATGAAGCTTCCTTATTGTCTGAATTAAAGGAAAATATGGATGGCTACTGTTAGAGTTTTTTATCCTTATAAAACCGGCTTGTAAAATGAAATGTGTCACTCTATATAAATTCTTTAAAGACTCTATTTCGCCTTGTAAAATGAGAAGTGTCACTCTATATAAATTCTTTAATGACTATGTGTGTAACTAATGTGAGACTTAAAATCTTTCCAATGCACCTCCTCACGTCCAACACTTTTTTGAACTTAGTGTATGAATATAAACGATGGGCGGTTAATGGTCCGATCGATAGACTCATAATTAGAAATGTGGTTAAACCTAACTCAATCATACAAAACTGTCTTGTAGGGTGAGAATTGCCCCCACTTATAAGCACTTTTTTTAGGCCATATATTGTCTAATGTAAGAATCTTAACACAACCCCTCACGTCCAAGACAAAACATTTGAAATATGAAAATAAATGGTGGGTGGCCCAACAACAAAAACCTAACCTGATAGCAGGTGGTCCATCAAATCTTAAACAAACTCTGATGTCATGTTAAAAATTGTGGTTTAGGCCTAACACATCATTTTATACTAATGAAAATGGTTTGGATGATTTGTAAAGGAATAGAAGGTGAGGGTTACGAGTGTGTTTAGTCAACTGGAAAATTTCACAATGTAAATTTTTTGGCTTTTCATTGATTCTATCACCTAAAGATAAGAAGGAATAGTTGATCCTCATTATACTTAAAACTAATAAAAGTACAATTGATTCACCATTGTATATATTCTCATAATTCACATTAAGTGATTTATGTAATTTGTGGAAATAGATGGAACAACTTGAATATCTGTAACAACAAGTCCTCCTTATAAGATTTTAACTAGAATTAGTTTATATTGAAGTTGAGTACAAGATAAGCTAATACAAATATACATTAATCTACATAACATAATATTCTAGTAAAAATCTTATGAGGGGGACCAGAGGTAGTTGAACGAGAGCTAAGATAGTTTCCTTGGGCAAAGCTCAATCAACAGGCCTTGAGATGGTGTTGGCATTGGATCCCTGCTGAAGGAATTGTCTGAAAGCCGCTTCCAACTGAACTTTGTCACAAGGTAATGAATTATCACAAGAGTTTCAATCTTGGAAAACTCATATCCTGGACATATTCTTGCTCCTCCTCCAAATGGAACATAGCAATAAGATGATGTAGATGCTTGGTTTTCAAATCTACTTGGATTAAACTTTGATGGCTCTGGGAATATTTTGTTGTCCATGTGAGTCATTGATGTGACCCAAAAGATCTATAAGAAAAGAAGAGATTTATGTTAACTAGAGTGTATGTGAGAATTTTACGTATGATTGATACCAGTGTAGTCATGATCTAGTGTTGGATCGTACGTGCTAAGGATGCCTGAGAGTGCTACGATCAAAGAAATATGTGTTTCGTCACCGGCGTGGTCAAGATTGTAAAAAAAATGTGTTGGGGTTTTTTTTTTGGCTCTATATTATAATTTTCATGTGTTTGTGTGTATGTGTGTGTGTATATATATATATATATGTATGAAATTATCATTTTCCCCTTCGGTTGGATCTTACATGTCGTGCTAATGTTCCGAGTTTATGATCTTTCACAAGGCAACCGATCCTACTTAGGATCTCGTGCTTGACTATAAAGATTGACACTACACTTTCATTTACCTGCCACCCTTTGGGTATAATGTATCCACCATATTCAATATCTGTTGTGGCTTTTCTGATTCCACCAAAAATCGGAGGAAACCTTCTAAGAGTTCCCATTGCTACTCTCCAAGTATATTTCATCTTTCAAATGTCCTCCCATATTAAAGCCTCTCCCAAGAGCTTGCCTTTTTCTATTTCTTCCTGTTCTGCAAGTGCAACCATATAATTAAATACATAGGTTTCTCTACCTAGAAGAACATCTACACACTCACACAAGTCGATGTATACCTTGAAGAACAGTTGCACAAATATCCGGATCGTTACCCAAGATCCGGATAATGAAAGTGATTAGAATAGCTGACGTGTCATGCCCCACGACCATGACAAGCATAGCATTATGGATGATTTCCTTCTCAGTCAAAACTTGTTTATCATCTCCAACCATGCTAAGGAAGCAACTAATTAAGTCTTGGCGAGAATTTGTGTCATTTTTCTCATGTTCAACCTTCTTCTGGCGCACAATCTCCTTCAACAAGTTTTGTATCCTTTCACTTTCCCTGAGGTTGCGGTTGTAGCTTGTGAAGGGTATATTGATTGGGACTGACCACACTCCTTTAATCAATGCTCGGAAGGGATTCATAAGTTGATCTCTTTGTTTTCCACTCTCAAGACCAAACAAAAGAGAGAAAATTATGTTGAATGTCAGAGTCTTCATCAGGGGCAATACCTATCAGAGAAAATAAATAGTTGCATGAAATTTTATTCTAGTTTCAGTCGAAAGTGATTGTACTGGTGTGTGACTTGTAACAACTTACCTTGACCTGCTGCTTCCCTTCCCAATGCATCTGAAGGTGGCTCCTAACCTCTTCATCAATTTTACCAACATAGTGTTTCAAAGATTCCGGCTTCAAGAACGAGACAAGTGCACCTCTAACTCTGTTATGATCTTTTCCACTCAGTTCAAGCAAGTTCCTTTCACCTAATATCATCTTAGTAGACCGTGTTTGCTGGTTAACAATATTGTTACCAGTGTTGGCGAATATAAACTTATTTGCCGCCTATCCATGAATCAAAACAGTTGGTTTGCCAAAGATATTTAGCTTTGAAATAGGACCATACTTGTTTATTCTGTCTTCAATCCATTTTTCTGCAGTGTTGGGTCGCATAGCACGAAGAAAGTCAAAACTTTGACCAATAATGGGAATTCCAAGTTGTTAGTACCATTATTTCATGGTTTTATGACTGGCTAAATTTTAGTAAAACATGATCCTGCACTGATGTCATTACCAAAGTTATGACATCGAGGTCTGGTGCAGCAAGAGCTGATGACAATACTGATGTCATGTGTTTTGAACAGGATGTCATTACCAAAGTCATGACATCACTGTCTGGTGTAGCAGGTGCTAGCAAGAGTTGAAGAAAGAACTGCTGCCATGTGTTTTGAACAGGATGTCATTACCAAAGTCATGACATCACTGTCTGGTGCAGCAGGAGCTGAAGAAAGAACTGCAATGTCTGGTGCAGCAGGAGCTGAAGACAGAACTGCTGACTGGTACAACAAGAGCTGCTGTTTTGTATCACCTGATAGAAGTGCTTTGGATATACCTCATCAAGTGTGTGCAGTAGGAACAAAGTGCAGATTTAATTGGTGTTCATAAAAAGGATCCTTGAGACTTTTTAGGAAACTATAAGATGTTTGTTTCTATGGGTGTGAAGAAGATTCTGCAGGAGTGTTCAGCAGAGTTAATTTGGTCAGCTAGCACAAAGAGAATTGAATGTCATGACTGAATGTTATGACATTGATCGTATGACATCAGGTAGCTGACAAGCAGGTTTGTTTTCTATTATATTGCATGAGTCAGCTCAGGCAAGATTTCAGGAGATTTATTAGGGTTCCCTAGTTATCTCAAGAGAGATTCTAGGCAGTGCTAACCATATCACAAAATGCCATGACCTAATTCAAAGCACCTTGAATTGTGGAAATTAGTTTTACTTTGTTAAAACTAATGTTTGTTACTTTGGATCAGCCCAAGCCCAGTCTGCATTGCTATAAAAGGAGGAGCAGAAGCAGAGGAAAGTAAGCACTCACATCAAGAAGAACTTGAGTGTAAAATAAAGGTCTAGAGTTTGAGAGTCCCTTGTGTGTAAGTCACCCTTTGTATCTTTTGATATATTGTGGTAGACATATTTGCAAGTGAAGAAGGTTAGTCTTCACGTGTAAAGTCTGTTTAGGAATACTTGTAATCCAAGCAATTGTCTGGTTGATGATTGCATTGGTTAGGTAGATTCTAGGTCGTGTCTCACTCAAAGTTGTGAATCAAGAGTGTGTGAGTTCCTTTTTGAAGCAAGATCAAGGTGTGTATGAAGTGTCTCTTCATATTGAATTAAGTAATTGTCTGATATCACTGGTGTGTGATTGTAGGGGAGTGAGTGGGTATACTCAGGTCTAGAGTGTCTCTAAATTGAAGTGTCATTGGGTAGGGATTAAGTGAGGAGTGTAAACTGGAGGTTTAACTCTGAATTGATTCTACTAATAGTGAATTTCCTCCCTGACTTTGTAGCCCCCAGATGTAAGTGTGTTGCACTGAACTGGGTGAACAATTACTTGTGTTATTTATCTTTTTGCATTTACAATTCTACACAATTTAAATGGTGAGATAAATAGGCCTGTCAGACTGCAGATGTCACAACAGAGGTAATGACATTGGTACAATTTAAAGAAATTTAAATTGGTCATGGTATGTCCTTGTTCTATTTCAGCAGAGATCAATGTTCTTGGAACATATGAAATCCGCATACCAGAATTTCAATTGGTATCAGAGCAGACATCCTATCTGTTCTGGATGAGATCTTGGGAGATGCTTTCTGGTGTTTTGAACAAGGAGAAGCTGTAGTTGATTGTTGATCTTACTGAATGTTTGAGCTACTGCTTATGGAGCTAAGGTGAAGCTTGTACCTGTTGTCGTGCCCTCTGATATAGGAGCTTCTATGACCAGCTGTATGTTATGCCAAAGGAGGAGTGGCTACTTCTGTCTTATGGCCTGTTGAATGATCAGACATCTTGGTTAGGGCATGTTCTTTTGGTGGTTTCGCTGCATATTTCTCTGATAAAAGAACTCTGATGCCCATGGGAGAAGACTAGCCCATATACAGTTTGCTGCATGGCTGTGGCAGTTGTGTAGATGATTGGAAGATGGTGGTTCGCTTTGTGTCTGAGTTGTTCTGTATTATAGACTGCTGGAAGCTGTGCTAAGAGGAGATAGTGGGAGGTGATTTATTTTCACCACTCATGACTTGGAAAGGCTCAATCAGCAGAGGAAGACATAGACAGGTTGAGTCGAGGGTGTAAAACTTGATGGTTCAACAATAAAGATACTGTTATGATAGGATAGAAATCTTCGACGGAGTATGATGTAAGTGATCTACAATTTTGTAGTCACTTTTGTGAATGAGTCTCATAAACTTCTCGGCGTCCTTTAAAAAAGCATCATTACTAGCCTACTGTTGGACATCTTCCTCAACTACTGCTTTACCCTTCCCCTTATCATTATTATCAGTACTGAATTCAGCTGGAGAGAATACCCTCCCACTTCTAGTAATTCCTTCTGCTCAAACTATATTTTCAACTGAAGAACTACCATATGAAGACCCTATCAATTTCTACTTCTATCTATTACAAAACACTTTCGAAGGAGAAAGCAGCTCGAAGATGAGAAATATTGGAGTTCAGATCTTAAAAAAATGATGAATGAGGCTAGGTTTGGATCTCAAATGCTTTTATATGACCTATTTTTAGGGTTGGAAACAAGTCTGAGGCTTGGGAGTTGTTGTTTTTGGTTTGGACAGAAAAATGTGAAAACGATACACATGGGGTAGCTTGGCTCGGCTATGGCAGTTTTTGCTTAGAAATCAGCTTTGAATGGTGGTATTGTTGTTGTGGTAGTGAGTGGAAATGAGAGGGTCATAAAATGGGGTGGAGTAACAATCTTGTCAAGCAAGTTTTTATGTTACTTTTTTGGCAAAATAATGAAAATAAGGTACATGTGATAAGAGTAATTATTGGATGTTTTGGGTAGTGTTTTGATAAGCCAAACAAGAGCCTTGGTGCGTGTAACTTTGTGCACAAAAATTCCTTGCATGAAAGATCAATTAGTTTATGGAAATGAGGTGTGACATGGGGATTTCCAAGTTTCATGCCAACAACTTTAAATGTTCAAATCTTAGTGAATTCTTATCCATTTGAAAAGCCCTTATGCTAAAAATCAAGTATGAAGAATATGGGACAAGATTCATGTTAGAAACAACTTGTAACAAACCTTGTATCAATGAGGAAAATGGAGTGGAAGTTGTGTCCTCAAAACTGTCCAAAGTAACTTAGAAAAATTCTAAGTTATTGAACCTTTAACATAATTGAAACCTCATATTTGAATCCATATAACTTGAAGAGTTTTGATCCAATGGAGATGTTTTAGTAATGGATAGAAAGCTTGAATAATGATCTTCAACTTTCATGTTCAAGGGAAAGTGATTTGAGGTCAAGAACTTGGTGAAAAGTGCATTGGAAAGTAGCCTCAAAAATCTGCCTAAAACTTGTCCACTCTTGACAACATTGGAATCCTAAATTGGATAGATCATAACTTGAGTTATACACATCCAATGAAGATGATCTAGTACTCAAAAAAATATTGGAGGATTCCCTACAACATTTATGTTCAAGGAAAAGTCATTTGAAGTTTGTATCATCATGTAAGATAGGCTTGAAAGTAGGTACTTCAAGCTGAATTTTTATACTTAGAAAAATTTCTAAGTGTTGAAATGACAAAAATCTTGATTTTCTCAACTTTAGCTCTCCATATCTCTCAAAATATGGATCTTTTGGACTTGATTTATTCTACAAACTTGTAGTTCATGATGTCCTCTTTAATTTGATAACAAGTTTGCCCCCATTGGATCAAGGATGAGAAAGTTATGGAAGTTGCAAAATGGCTAGAATTTAGGGTTTTCCACACTTAGAAAAAATTCACTAAAACCCTAATTCAACCAATATCCTAATTTTATGATGTTTCCTCTTAACTTTACTTGTATCAATCACATGAAAACACCTAGCATCCCCTTGGTTGACCTTGAGATCCAAGGTTTTGATCCCATTGGATCACAATTGACTTTTGTTGACCAGATGAAACCCTAGGATCATTTCAACTGATTGAAGCTCTTGTGATGGTTTTTGAAAACACATAATCCATGTAGAGGACCATAAAGGTGTGTGTTAAGCTTTAGGATCATGTCTTGCCCAAGGAACTAGCCACAAATCTCCTCTAAACCAAAACCCTAGTCCGATTGTCCATAAGATAGAAGGAGGTGATCAATGCATGGATTCTTGATTCAAGTGGTTGAGTGACGTGTCTTGATGATGATGAAGACCTTGTGACTTGATATTTCCATAAAGTTAAGCATGAACCCTTAATTGATCTATAAAGATGAAGCTCCTCTCTTAAGTGTTGAATAGGATACCTTGATCCCCTGCCTAAGATCAATGTTATACATAAATGCTAATGCAAAATGATATGAAACATAAGCCAAGATATGAGAAAAGGGAAAGGAAAATTTTGGGGTGTTACAGGTAGACTTTCACATATGCCCAACTTTCTGGATGAAGTTGTGAAGTAGACATTATCATATTATTAAGAACATCCATCTCAAAAGAAGTGAAGGGCATGCAAAGACCAAGAACTGAAAAAAATACATTCACAAAAGAGGATGGCACAACCACCATACTCACTACATATGTTTTCATTCTTGTTCGAGGTTAAGATGCCCCAATGTGAAGATGGACCAACTTCAAGAAAGTCCCCAACAAGACTCATTTCTCTATCAATAGCATAAACATTTGAGGAGTAAACAGATTCCTCCCATGAATATTGAATATTCTTTTGGGAATTTTGAGCACTCTCCTATGATTTTTGACCTATAATGCACTAACTTTTCAGAT